CTTCTCCGGCCGCATACCCTCCTCAAGCCTCTCCCTGTCCTCTGACCACCCTCTCTGTGCAGGGTCCTCCTCCCCTGTGCTCTCCATATCCCTTGGCCTCACCATCTCTGCAGCCTGCACCCTCTCTCCTGCCCGTGCCCCCTCCGCAGACCCCACCTCCTCTGGCCGCACACTGTCTGCAGGCCACGCCCTCTTCGCCCCGGCTCCCTACACAGGCCCCACCTTCTCTGGCCTCATCACCTCTGCGAGTCCCAACCTCTCCCCTAACCATGCCTCCCCAGCAAACTCCAGTTTCTCCTGCCACAGCCCCCCTGCCGGCCATTCCCTCTCAGAGCGTGCTCCCAGCACCTCTGCAAACCCCTCTCTCTCCGGTTTCACTCCCTCCCCAGAACCTTTGCTCTCCCTTGGCCATGCCCCCTCCCCAGGCTCCACCTTCCCTGGCTTTGCCTCCTCTTCAGGCCCCTCCCTCTCCCCCTGCCTCACCGCCTCCGCGAGCCCCCCCCTCTCCCCTGGCCACATCCCCTCCTCGGGCCCCTCCCTCTCCCCTGGCCACACCCTCCCCGCGGGCCCCTCCCTCCCCCGTGGCCACACCCTCCCCGCGGGCCCCTCCCTCCCCCGTGGCCACACCCTCCCCGCGGGCCCCTTCCTCTCCCCTGGCCACACCCCCCCCACGGACTCCTCCCTCTCCCCTGGCCACACCTTCCCCGCAGGCTCCACCTTCCCTGGCCTTGCCTCCTCTGCCCAGCTCTACTCTCCCTCTGCAGGCTCCTCCCTCTCCCCTGGCCACGCCCCCTCAGGCTCCACCTTCCCTGGCCTTGCCTCCTCTGCAGGCCCTGCCCTCTCCCCTGGCCACGCCCCCTCCCCAGGCTCCACCTTCCCTGGCCCTGCCCCCTCTGCAAGCCCCTCCCTCTCCCCCGGACTCCCCCCCTCTGCAAGCGCCACGCCGCCCCCCGACCCCAGGTCCGGATGCCCCCATCCCGGGCCCACGGCTGACCCTGGCGCTGGCCCCGGCTCCGCCGCCACCGCCCTCGCGCAGCCCGTCCAGCACGCTGAGCGGCCCGGATCTGGCGGGCCACAGCAGCAGCGCCACCAGCACGCCGGAGGAGCTGCGTGGCTACGACAGTGGGCCCGAGGGCGGCGCCGCGGCCTCTCCGCCCCCCGACGCGGAGCTCGCCGCCTGCCACCCGGCCTCCTGGAGCCGAGGTCCCGCTCCGCCGCTGGCCCCCCGCAGCACCCCAGGTAAGCAGCCCCTCGACCCCGCCGAGCTGTGGGAGGAGCGAGGTCCGGAGATGGCAGGGGCGGGTGGGAGGCGAGGCTTCCCAGCTTGGGGGGGGACGGGCCAGTCGGGTCTGGGGCGGAGCTGAGGGAAGGGGCGGGGCCTTGTGGCGGGAGCGGCGCTTCCCGTCGTTAGGCCCAGCCTGGCGTCTCTCCCCGCAGGAGCGCCGCTGCCTTGGCCTCCTGCCGCGGGGTCGGGCTCCGCTGACGGCCTCTGCACCATCTACGAGGCTGAGGGCCCCGAGTCGGCGACCCCCGCCCCGGGCGCGCTGGATCCGGAGCCCGGGCCCGGCGCGGGTAGTGGGAAGGTGGCGGCTGGAGTAGGGGCGGGGGCGACCTCGCGTGGAGCGAAGCCGGGGCGCCTGGGCGAGCTGCCGCTGGGGGCGCTGCAAGCGAGCGTCGTGCAGCACCTGCTGAGCCGGACGCTGCTGCTAGCTGCGGCCGAGGGTGCTGCAGGCGGCGGCGGCGGCCCAGGGGGCGCGGGGGCTGGCGGCGTCGCGGGGGGCGCCCGTACTGCGCTCAGCGACGCCGAACTGGGCCGCTGGGCTGAACTGTTGTCTCCCCTGGACGAGTCCCGCGCCAGCATCACCTCGGTCACCAGCTTCTCCCCGGACGACGTGGCTTCCCCGCAGGGTGACTGGACGGTGGTGGAGGTGGAGACCTTCCACTGAGCCAGACCCTTAGCCCCGCCCACCACACCCCTTCCCCCCTTAGGGCCCGCCCCCCCGGTTCCGTCTCTCTGTCTTAGACTGCCCGCCTGCTCTCCTCCAGGCGTCTGGCTGGACCGAGCCCCCTGGAGGCTTAGATTTGGGGCCAGGCTCGCGACCCACCCTCGCCTTTGGCCAAGGTCTTCCCCTCGAGCGCCCCCCTTTGGCCTGGACGCGCTCCCTCCCCCCTCGAGCCCCGCCCCCTCCCCGGCCCGGGCCCCGCCCCAGGTCCTGTGTGTGGTCCACCGTGCGCTGCCCGAATTTCCAATAAAGCCGGGACACTGCACCTGTGCGCCTTCGCGTCGCGGTCGCCGAGGGGTCCACCGCGGGGTGGCGGGAGGCTGGGGCCAGCCGGCGCTCGCGGCTCTGGCGGAAGGCCTCTCGCACACAACGCAGCGGTGCCTTTTCCCTACTAAGGATAATGGGCGCGTGAGGCGGGGCTGGGGTGGGACCTGGTGCTGCCGAGTCCCCGCGGGCCGGCGCGGCGGCCCCACGCACGTGCGAGAACGTGGGCTTTTCCCTTTGTGACTTGCGGCGGAAACGCCAGGCGCAGGAGCGGCCCAGTGGTATTGCGCCGCTCCGTGGATGAGTTGATGCGTGCCCGGCGTGGTTGAACGACCGAGAAGTCTTCTACACTCCCGGAAGGGAGCCGGCACCTCTTGCGGGGAGGGGGGGGGAGACGAGTGGGAAGGGCTCGCTCAGGTCCAGGGCCGGGGCAGGGCGACCCTTCCTGCGGCCCCCCTTTCCCTGCACACCCGGAGTGCGCAAGGGAGGGCGATCTTGGCTCCCTCCTGCGCCCTCCCAACCCAACCCTGGGTGCAGTGCGCTTTGTTCACTGGGGGGGGACTCCAGTGCAGAAGGTAGGTCTACAGTTGGGCCCAGGAAGACCTGGTGAACGGTACTGGGTCCTCCCGGATGAGGCCCCACCAAGGATTCCGCGTGTGTGTGTGTGTGTGTGTGTGTCTCCCGAGGTTAGGTCCTCACATTGCTCCTCCCTCTCCATCCAGGTGGCCTCACCAAGCCCCTTTGTGCCTCCCAAACCATGGGCCTCACCCCTCCCTCCATCTCAGGTTGCCCTCCTCAAGCCCCTCCAGCCAGGCATCCTCGCCTGTGCCCACAGCAGGGGACTTCAGCAAAGCCAGTCTGTCTTATTAGAATTCCTTGTCCTTCCTCTCCCCCCTGGGTCACCCTGACCCTGGACCCTTCTAGTCCCACCCTGGCCCTTCCCAAGTGTCTGCTGCCAAAAATGCAACCCTGGGGCCTTTCCTCCCTGAGGGTCTCCTGCCTCACAGTAAGAACGACCACAGGAACCAAGTTGGAACTACAAACAGGGCAGGTAAAAGCACAGAGCAGTGGACCTCAGCCCTGTCTCTGCCCCTAAACCCAGACCCTATAGTCCACCCTATAACCTCGTTCCTGTCAGACCAAGTCCTGCCTGTCCTCACCCCCCATGTTAGCCTAGAGTCCTAGGAGAAAATCAACCTTCTCTGAGTGGGATGGTGCACCTACACCCCTGGGGCCAATGCGTATGGAGTGGGGGTGGGGGTGGGACTAGATCCTCTTTCTAGCTGGGCCCTGCAAGGAGCCAGGTGTCCTTGTTTCCAGATGCTAGGGGCTGAATCCTGACCTGCTGGGCAGCCAGGGCAGCCAGACCAGCCACTGAGATGGAGGAGAGCAGAACCTTGGACATTTCCCCCAGGGCCCTGCCCCATTCTGGGGAACAGCTGGTGTAGAATTACCCTGTGGGAGCAGGACAGATAGCAACGGTTGGGGGTCTCAGTGTTAAATCTGTATGTTGGGAATGGTGTGGGGACACCTCAGTATGGGGTGATGGGTCAGTGCATGAGGCTTGGCCATCCTGGTGCGTAACCAGTGTCACACCTTGCTGCTTGGCAGGTGTCAGGTCATTGTGGGTGGGGGCACTTTGGGTAGACAAGGCAGGGCCTGGCCAGCATCTGCCTGAACCCAATTAAGATTCTCCCCCTGGGAAGCCCTCCTTTCTCCCTGTCACTGCCCCCCCTACTCTGCCTCAGCTCCATGAGGAACCCCACAAAGGGCTCCACCTCTGTGGGCCTCCTTCCCCCAGAAGAGCCCATACTCACTGTCCCTCCTGCCCAGCTGTTTGGGTTCCACCCTGGCCACCTGACTGACCCCCCCAACACTGATCTGTCTGATGGTGCCCCCTCTGCCACCTGAGCCCTCCATGGCTCCCCAGTGCCCTCAGTTCAAAGCACAAATTTGGCTCCTGAGAAGCTGATTATCAGTCTGGCCACGTCCACTCTCTCCTATTTCTTCTTCAATGGCATCATGTGCCTCCTGCTGACCTTGCTTTTTGCTTTTGCCTTTGGAGATGACTCCACCTTCCACCTCATCTTCCAGGAAGCCTTCCTTGATTCTTTTGGGCACTTACCCCACTAGTAGGCAGGCTCAGCCCGCAGCCCCACCCCATTGTTTGTCTCCACTACCCTGGGGACCCTTCAGGGCCAGGCACAGGGCAGAGCACCCCAAAGGCCTCGGGAAGTGTGTGCTGAATGAACAGCAACCAGATCTTACATCTTCCTGGAGCCCTGGGACCCCACATTCTCCGTGTCTCTCAGGGGAGGCACAAGCTAAATTGCCCAGGTGGAAAATCATGCCCCCCGCCCAATACCTCCCCACTCTCACCTTCTCCAGAGCCACCCTTTTGAAAGTTGGCAACCAAAGGATCCAGCTGTCAGTCTCACATCCGAAGTCCTCTGCGACCTGTCCCCCAAGACTGTCTCCCCCAAGCCCCAACATTTGTTCACATCAAACCAGCCAGTGCCCTTTTTCTCCCATGCTACCCCTTTCCCCCAACCTGGGCAGTCTCTTTGGTATCCCTGAGGGCCTGCTGGGCCCCCTACCTCTGATTTTCTTAGACTGTGGATGCTCCCACAGCAAGGACAATCTGTTCCCCCTTTGGGCTGCTTTTCGGGACAAGGACCTTGGGACTCAGAGCAGCTTGCAGTTCCCCCAGGCCTGTCGTACCCTTGTCTGTGACTGTGTAAATACACTTTATTTTCCATCTTTCCCGCCTGGGCGACATGTGGAGTGTGAACAGGCAGTGTGCAAAATGGTGGTGGGCAGTGTGGGGGGCACATGGGAGAGCCCCTCAGATGCCCACCCTGGTCCCCAGGCTTTGTAACACTGAGGGGTGGGCGACCGGAAAGGGGTAACTGAGCATGGATCCCCACCCCAGGAAGCGCCAGGGAGATTGCTTTTGACGCTGCTCCAGGCTCCAGGAGCACCGACAGGGTCAGGCCCAAGGGTCACAAGGCCCTGGGGGCAAGGGGCTGGGGGCATCGTTGGACTTTGGCACCGTTCTCAGCTCTGCCTCTGCAGAGACCACGGACCACCATGAGCAGCCGAGGGGAAGTAACTCCACTGGGAAGGCTCCTCCCCTGAGGCCTGGCCTTGGCCAGAGGGTGGGGCTGGGGACACAGGGAAGGGAGGGACAAGGAGGCTGGGGACCCCTTAGAGAGCAGGCTAGCTTGGGTGGGGGAGCCCCTCCATATTTGGCCAAGACAAAGTGATGGGAGTGTCTCACGAAGGAAGATGTAGGGCGCTGGGGAGAGGGGGTCTCTTCACTTCCTTGCAGCTGCTCTGGCCCCCAAGAAGCAGGGACAGACTGCCCAGGCCTGGGCTGGTTCCCACTGTCCACTCACACCCCAGGTGGCCCTGCATACAGTAGGGGGGACTTTGGTTTCTGCTGCAAGGGCCATGATGCCTGCACCAGGCAGGAAAGCCCAGCCTGGCCATCTGTGCCCAGCCACCAAGGGTCCCCAGGGACATCGTGGGGGTGGTAACGTCTAGCCCAGAGCTGCCCCTTCTTCCTTAGTCCTCCTTTAGCTCCTGGGCCCTTCCCAGCAGGGCCACCCTTGTCCCAGAAGGGGGACTGCTGGGAGGAGGAGCTTTCTGCTCATCCAGTCCTGGGACCTCTGGGTCGTCCCCTGCCCTGGCTGTTAAGAGGGGCAGACCCTCCAGGGAACCTGGCCTGGAGGGGTACAGACCAAGATGGGTAAACACTGCTGGGGAGAGTGGGCCTGCCGGGGGGACCCTGAGGATCCTCAGACCGCTGCCCTATCCTCTGCGCCCCGCTGCTCTGGGCCTAGCCCTCGGGTGGGCGGGACCGCGGAGGGCAGTGGAGTTCATCAGGGGCGGCCACCTGCGGAGGAGCGGGCGGTGGCCCGTGGCCCCTGGCTCCGGCACGCCGGGCTCGGCCTCAGTTGTCCAGGCCCTGGCTATAGGGCGCGGCCAGCTCGTCGGCGTCGCTGTCTGAGCTGCCCTCGCTGTCCTTGGCCGGCCGCTCGAGACGGCGAAAGAAGCGCGCGTCCCGCGGGGACAGCGGGTAGAGCGCGTCCTGCAGCGCAGCGCCCACGCCCACGCCCACACCGAGCAGCTCCTCGTCCGACGACGGCAGCGAGTCCTCATCCAGGTGCCGCGCCAGGCCCAGCCCGTCGAAGGCCAGCGGGTCCTCGAAGGGCGGCGGGCCCTTCAACAGCCGCACCTGGGGCGGGGAACCGGCGCGCTGAAGGCGTGCGCCGCCGCCCCCTCGGACGCGACCCCGCCGCCGGGCCGCTCCTCCCCGCCCGCTCGCCCTCGGGGAGGATACGGCGGGCCCTGCGCCCCTCCCGCGCCGGCCGGGGCGGCCCTGCGCTCACCTCGGCCTTCAGCTCCTCGATCTGGTCCTTGAGCTCGCGGATGTACTGCGACGAGTCCGAGTGGTTCAGTTGGCCCTGGATGCGGCCCTCCTCCCTCTGCGGGGCGGGCCAGGTCACGGGGTGTCAGGGCAGGGCCCGCCCCGGGGCCCGTCCCCCGCCCCGGCCCCGCCGCTCACCTGGATCTCCAGCTCGGCGATGCGCTGCCGCATCTCGGCCACCGCAGCCATGCTGTCCGCCTCCCGCAGGCGCACGGCCATCACCTCCTCCTTGCTCTGGGGGCAGAGGGGGCGAGGGCGGGTCAAGGGGCGCGGCGGGGCGAGGGCCGGGCCGGGGCGGCGGGCGGGGGCGCACCTTGCACTCGGCCTCAGCCTGCTTGCGGCGGCTTTCGCTGAGCTGCGTCTGCAACCCTTTGTTCTGCGCCGCCAGGTACTGCAGCTTCTCCTGCAGCGCCGCGCGCTCGGCCTCCACGCGGTTCAGCAGGTTGCGGTGGATGTGGTCCTGGGGGCGAGCGTGGCGGGGGCGGGGGGGCAGGGGTCACGGGCTAGCCACCGCCCGGGCCGCCGGCACCCCCACCCCACCCCACCCCGGAGAGGGCGCGGGCGCTCCGGCCCACCTGCGTCTCGAGTTCCACCACGCGCTGCCGCAGCTCGCGACCCTCGGCCAGAGCCTGGGCCTCGCGCAGACGCACACTCATCAGCTCGTCCTGCAGCTCGCCCAGGACCAGCTTCCGAGGGGACTCCTTCCAGCGGCCCCCGCGGGACAGGTGGGCCTGGGGGGAGAGGCGGGCGGTCCGTCTTAGCCCCGAGGGTCACCAGGGCCGCCTCAGTGTGCATCCGGCTAGGACCCTCACCTGCCAGGTGTCGGAGAGCTCCTGCAGCTGCAGCTTCAGCTCCCGTGCGGAGGCCACGGCCTCGCCCTCCCGCACCTTGAGTGCCTTCAGCTCCTCCTGCAGCCGGGCCACGTTGTTCTCGTCCGGCAGCGAGCTGTTCCTCTGGGGGAGGAGAGGTGGTCAGAGCCCCGCGGAGGCAGCCCTGGCTGCAGGATCAAGACACGCCCCCGACGGCACAACGGTTCCTCTGAGCTCCACCGCGGGCAGCCCCGCCCAGAGAGGGTGCCCCGGGACCCCAGGATACACTGGGCAGGTGGCCTATGTGGAAAAGACCCCACCCATGTGGCCCTGGGGACAGATCCTCAGAAATTCTGCCTGCAAAATGGGTGTAAAGAAGGGCCCCTGCTCTCACTGGACTGTCTCAGGGTGACCCCCTAATGCGAGTGTCCTCCTGAAATGTTACTGCTAATTACACCAGGCAGGCCGGGCAAGGACAGGTGCTTCCCCACCTGGGGATCTGAGGTCTGTCCCCTGGGACCCATGATCAGACCTGGGACCCGCCTTAGCAGCAGCTGAGAGAGTTGCAGCTCCCTGTCCCTGCTCTTCACCCCCCACCCCAGACCAGTATAGGCAGCGCCTATCCCTGAAACAGGTGGAGGGCCAGCTTAGGCCGGGGCCCAGCGTTCCAAGGGCCCAGTGATGAAGGATTTGTGCTCCAGTCTCTTGGATCAAAATTCAGCTTGCTGCTGGAAGTCCTCACTGACCCCTAGGTTTGAGTCTAGGGGGTGGGGGTGAGGGTGGGGCTGGCAAGATCTCCTGGTGGACATTTCCCTCTGATGTGGAGGGAGGTGGGAGGGAAGCCCAGCTCTGGGCCGGCTGATGGGGACTGAGAAGCCCATGGATGGGGCAGAGACACCCCACCTGGAAGGACACCTCAAATAGTGCCACCTTGAGGGAGGCGGGGCCTGGCTCCTGCCTTGTGTGAGTGGGTCCTGCTGCCCTCTGCTGGCTGGGCACCTCTCTTTCCAGTGGCTTTGTGGGAGCTGAGTCCATATGGAGTTAGGTGACAGCAGTTGAGAAGGGCCCAGGCAGTTTGGGGCCCCTTTCAGGGCAGCAGGCAGAAGAGGGTGGTGTCAGACCACCACCTGGGTGGTATCGCCATGGGGGTGGGGAAGAGGAGAGCCTTGGCCTCCCTCCCACCTCCATCCTGGTGCCCAGGGCCTGTGGGAGACACAGACAGGTGGGACCATCTGTCCATGAAGCCCATGAAAGCCACCGCACTGCTGGCCCTGGGCCTGATGCCCAAAGGCAGGCATGCCCCTTGAGGAGTTGATCTGCTTTGTGTGCCCTGACATGTGTGTACACCTCCGGGGCTTGGGAGGGTCTGGGGTGAGGGGCCAACTTCCCACAGGCCCAGAACCTTGTGTGGTGACCATGGGGGAGAAAGTGGGGAGCCAGTGGGCTAGGGAAGTTTCCCAGGTTCCTCGGGGACTGCCAAGGCGGAGGTGGGGGGTGGGGGGCTGGCGTCTGACAAGCCCTGCTGGTTGGCCTGGTCACCTCTTCTTGACAGGGCCTGGTCGCATGCTTCCCAAAGTGCACCCAATACCTCCACTTCCCCTTCTCTGTGGTTCCCTGAACACCTGCCCGCTTGCCCGCCCAGTCGCACCTTCTCCATGTCTAGAACCTTGTCCTGCATCTCCCGAAGGGCCCCCAGCGTCTCGGTCTCCCGCAGCCTCGACTGCTCCAGCTCAGTCTCCAGGTGGGCCACAAAGTCCTCAGTGAGGCGCGGGTTGTCCTGGGGGCAGGCAGAGGGCTGTGTTGGGCCCCAGGCTGCAGCTGGAGGGCAGAAAGCCTTCCTGCCAGCTGGCTGTAGGCCCAGGCCTTGGCACCCCTGCCTCCTCAAAGCCACTGGGCTGGCAGAGGGGCTCAGGCTGTGGGTAGAGATGGGGTGGGGGTGAGCAGAAACCCTGGATTCCCGTCCTGTGCCTTCTGCCCATGTGGAGAGAAAGCTGAACACCATAATGGGGGTTCTGATGCTCTGTGCCTAGGGGTGTAGCTGTCCTGGCTTAGCCTCTTTCCTGGGAAAGCCACAACGAGGGGACCTTCTGAAGGGGTCTTTCCATGGCCTCAGGCTGCCCTGAGGGATGCCAGTGGCCAGTTCTCAGGATTGTTGGGGTGGGGGTGGAGGAGGGGTTCTCTAGTCACCCTTCCTGCTCTGTGGTCAGTGCCTAACCATAAAGGGAGCATGGGTGCAGGATGGGGCTCAGGGCTATGGGACTCCCGCCCCTCTTTCTCCACCTTCCTCCTCTCACCGCTCCCCCATTTCAAAGCAGGAAGAGATGGAAAAAGAGTTTGCTGGGATCACTCTCGCACAGTACTCACAAGGCTTCTCACAGGTACCCCACTTGAGGGTCTGGGGGGTGGATAGATGGGGCCCAAGCTCAACAATGAAGACCTGGCTGTGGGTGAGGGAAGCCCCTAAAGGCTGGAGCTTGGGGGTAGCAGGTAAATGTCTCCCTGGCCTGAAAGATGGCATCATGCCAAGGTTGGGATGAGCCCGGCCTTGGTTTCCCCATTGGCCATGCTGCCGCCAGGGCTACAGTGCTGCTGGCAGGTCATCAGATAAGGAAGGTGACCTGGGTATAGCTGAAGGAAAATCCTAAAAGCCACCTCCTGGAGAAGCAGACTCTTCACAGTGCTCTCTGGCCCAAGGGCCTTCCCACCACAGATTCGGTGTTCATGACTCCACAACAGAACTCGGGCTGCCCCCTCCCCACCCCTGCCAGCTCAGAGTGGTGGGCACAGACCAGACCCTCTCCCGAGGGCAAAGTGCTGGGCTCTGGAGCAGGAAACCCCCTCCTCCGTCTCTCATCCTAGCCCCCAACTGCATGGCTGGGCCCTGGGGGAAGCCTGACAGCCCTTCTGATCTTGGGAACCCTACAGGGCTCCTGTAAGAAATCAGAGCCACGTCAGCTGAGGGAGAGGGCCCTGCAAGTGAAGCCAAGGTCCCAGGCTGCCTTGTTCTCAGTGTGGCAGGCCAGACCCCTCACCGCCTGGTGAGAAATGGAAACCATGGGATTCCCCAACTTGGGTGTGGGGCTGGGGGAGAATCTGTACTCCCTCTGGGTTTCTCCTCCTTTACACCCCTCCCCATGTCACCTGGGGTAGGTGGGGAGCTGTGGTGTGGGGCACAGCCCCGCCCACCTGGCCTGGTACCTGCTGCTCCTGGAGCTGCCTGATGGTGCTCTGAGCCTTCTGCAGGTCCTCGGCTGCGGAGCTACACTGCTGCCGCACCACTGCCAGCTCCCGCTTGATGACATAGTTCTCCTCGGCCTCCTGTGCCCGCGTCACCTGCCCCTGGGCATAGTGAGGACAGGAGGCTGTGACCCTCTGGGCCCTGCCTCTGGCCCACCTCGAGGGGGGGAAGCCCCGAGAGGGCCGATGTGGGATGGGAGAGGGGTGAGGCTGCCCGCACTCAGAGCCTGGGATGGGGCGCCCCACCGGGTCTGGGCACGTGGGTGGGGGCAGGCAGGAACTGGACACGGGGAGGAGCCTGAAGGAACAGACCTGCCCCAAGCCCAGGCTTCAGTGGGGCTTAAACAGAGAATGGGGCTGTGACAGCTCCTTCCCCTGCCAGCTCCTGGCTCTCAGCCCCTGTCCCAGGTGAGGAGAAACAACCCTTATTTAGGGTCAAGGCACAGCAGACACCGGGCTCCGCTGGTGAGGCTGGGGGTCTGGAGACCACGAAGGCCCAGGGACTCAGGACTGGCCTATCAGGGCAGGTTTGGGAGGTGGAGCACAGCTCTCCCAGAACCTTCTCTAGTCCTGAATCCTGGGTCCTCCATCTACCCGGGCTGAGACCCTCCAGCCCCATCTCCTCAACCCACCCAATTCGGGTCCCCCCATTCCAGGCTCGGAGCCACCAGGTGGTGAGCAGAAGCTTCCAGATAAAGCCATTCAAGATGAGGCAGCAGCAGAAGCAGGTGAGAGAAGATGGCAGGCCTTGCAGGTAGGAGCAGAAAGGAGCGTGAGGGGCCAGAAAGGGTGGTGTGTGTGTGTGTGTGTGTGTGTGTGTGTGTGTGTGTGGTAGGGAGGCTCAGCGCAGTGCACACACCAGGGCCTATGGCTGATATAGCCTCAGGGTCCCCACCTGTGTCCCCCAGAGGGAGGAAACTTTCTGTCCACATGCGTGGACAAACACTCACACTTACCCACACACACCATGCTTTCACACGTACACCCCTCTCCACCCCCCCGCCCAGGGAAACTTGTGTCTCCCCTGAGAAGCAGTCCCCAGCCATCCCCATGCATGGTGCCAGGCCTGCCCCCTTCTGCACCCAGGATGGCAGCGGCCAAGGAAGAGGCGGGTCCTGGCTGTCGTGTGCAGGGACCAGGAGGGACATGGGAGAGGGGATGAAAAGCTACAGTACCTGGATTAACCTATCAGCCAGAGCAGCGCTCTCCTACCCGGCGGAGGGGTTCCGAGCGACAGGGGGAGGAGGCAGAGCGGAAGGCGCAGGGACAGGAGAGGGGGAGAGACAGACAAGAACCACTTGTCACTAACGCAGTGGACTATCTCTAGAAGCAGGGGAGAGAGGAGTGAGACCAGAGAACCAAAGAACCAGCAGGAGAAGGACCCGGAGGAAGAGCAAAGCCAGAGCTAGCTCCGTCCTGGAGAGGAATCTGTGTGCGGGTGGGGAGTGGGGTGCCCGCGGTGCCCCCTCCAGGGCCCGGCACACTCAGCACAGGCGTGAGGAGGTGCCATCCCCGGGGCTGAGGGATGGGGTGGCAGCGTCGGGCCAGGTGGAAGTATCCTAACTTGGAGTCTGAGTAAGCATCGAGGCTTTGGCACAAGGGCAGCACAGTCGTTTGCATGACTATTCTCTGGGGGCAGTGGGGGGCCAAGGGAGAGTGGGAGAAGAGTGGGAAGTGCCCCCCCCCCCCCCCCCCCGCTTTTACTCATCTCTAAAAACAGGTTGGGGGCCAGGGTCAAGGTTGTGGCACCACATCACGGCGCTGGTGGCAAGGCGCCCTTCTACTTTTCCTCTTCGTTTGAGGGTGAGGCCTCCAAGTTACAGGGTTGGGAGCCTGTGGCTTAATTCGGGGTACCTCAGTCAAAGCAGCAGTTCTGCCTCCGTGCCCCCGATGCAGGCAGCCCAGGAGGGACCCGTGTTTGCTATTAACTGGGTTATAATTTCACACCCAACCCGAAGCAACGCTGCCCTAGGACCTCTGGTAATATGGCATCCCAAATCTCAGTGGGGCTCATGGTGGGGCCCCATGGGATTTACACCATGCGCCTCAGGGCTCGGTGTTTCAGGGTGGGGCTCGGACCCGGGCAGGGGGCTGGATGGCCCTCTGGCTGCTGGGTCCTGCCGGGGGCCTGGAGGAGTTGGTGCCACAGGCTGGTGGCCACGCTCCTCACCTTCTCCAGGGTCTCGATCCGTTGTTTCAGGAGCCGGTTCTCTGTCCGAAGCCTCTATGTGGGGAGAGGGCGGGGGAGTGTGTCAGAAGCCCAGTCCCAGCCCCATACACACAGAGGTCTGTCCCCTTAAGGGCCAGGCTGCCTCCAGGCAAGACGGAGCCATCATCGAATGTTCTGGGTCAGTGATCCCAGAAAACAGTCTGGGCCAATTCCTGCTCAGCAGGGCCCATTAGTTTTTTGTTTTTTTGTTGACAAAACTTAGTTCACTTAAAATAATGTGATCACCTTCACGGGTATGCACTGTGCGTCAGGGGTCAGCAGTCGGCACCCTTGCCTTCCTGGGAAGTCTGCTTGGGCCTGTCAGAGGCCAATAGGACACCGACCCCAAGGGCTGGCCTTCCTCTCGGCCTGTTCCTACCCCTCACTGCTTTGCTTGCAGTACAGGGCAGGGGGGTCTTGCTGAACACACGTGCTTTCTTCAGCTGGACAGCTGTATATCTGCGACCCGCTGAAAGGCACCTGTACTCGGAAGCTGTCACTTCCCTCCAGCTGGGGTTCTGGAGGCAGCTTGCTTTGCTTTTTACCTTCTCTCCTGCGCCGATGATGGATTTGGGTTGGATATTTGTGGGTTTAAGTTCCCCGTGGCCTTTGGGAAGCAGGTGAGGTTTACATACAGTTTGCATCTTAGTCTCTACCTAGGCACCCGTTAAGAAGTAGGTACAGGGGACGCCTGGGTGGCTCAGCCCTTAAGTGCCTGCCTTCAGCCCAGGGCGTGATCCTGGAGTCCTGGGATTGAGTCCCACACTAGGCTCCCTCCGTGGAGCCTGCTTCTCCCTCTGCCTGTGTCTCTGCTTCTCTCACTGTCTCTCATGAATAAGTAAATTAAAAAAAAAAAAAGTAGATACAAATAATTAGATCCTAAGTGTGTGCTGAATGAACACCAACCAGATCCTGCATTCTCCTGAAACCCCAAGACCTCATCCATTACTAGTGAGGACCCTGCCTCCATTGGGATCACAAAGAACATTGTTTCTGATTTCCTCCAGGGAGAAGGTGATGGAAACACCCAGAACACTTGCAGGACACAGGTGTGATTGATAGTCATTCACTGATGTCATGCGTGGGGAAATTGAGTTGGGGGGGCCAGTGTCTTGTCTGAGCCCCCCCTGTTGGCCTGGGTTAGAGCTCTTTCAGGGCCAAGTCTCTGCCCCACATCTGGAATCGGAGTCCAGATCCTCACCCCTGCCCCCTGGATTGCTCAGCCCTATCTCTGGCCTCGATCAAGCATGGAGATCCTTGAGGAGTTGGATGTGCCCAACTAACAACGCCCCTCCCTCCTGCTTTCTCCAAAGGGAAACTGAGACCAGGAATGAGCAGAGAACTATGGGGTCTGGGTGTACATCAGGTTGTTTTTTTTTTTTTTTTTTTTTTTTTTTTTTTTTTCCTGTGTTTTTGAGGCTTTGCCATCCAGCTACATGGCCTGTCTCGGAGAGACTGCCCCGCCCAGGACTAGCTAATTCCTAGAGACAGCAAACAACCTGCGGGCTAGGGCGCCTTTCACATGCAAACCAGCCCACCCAGAGCCCACACCCACCCACCTTGCCAATCTCGTGCACAAGCCAAGCCCAAGGTTCTCCCTGCCCTAAAGCACAACTAGGGACCCACCCTGTCGCCTGCAGCTCCCTGAAATTATTCAGAGGAACCAATCCTAAACTCAAACTCAGACTACCCTACCTTGCCCATTCCTTCCTACACTGGCCCACGCTTTCCCCTCTTGCCCTCTGCCTCCTGACCCACCCTAGTGCTTCCCCGTGTGGCCACGCATGGTGGGGCATGCAACCTCCTTTTGGGAACTGTAATAAACTCTTCTTTCAGAGGCACTCTCTGGGTTGTCTCCGTGTCTGTCACTTTACCACACCTGATTAAAACAAATTCCACGGGATCCCTGGGTAGCTCAGTGGTTTAGCCCTGCCTTTGGCCCAGGGCATGATCACAGAGTCCCAGGATCGAGTCCTGCATTGGGCTCCCTGCACAGAGCCTGCTTCTGCCTCTCTCTGTGTGTCTCTCTCTTTTTTTTATGATAGTCACACAGAGAGAGAGAGAGGCAGAGACATAGGCAGAGGGAGAAGCAGGCTCCATGCACCGGGAGCCCAACGTGGGATTCGATCCCGGGTCTCCAGGATCGCGCCCTGGGCCAAAGGCAGGCGCTAAACTGCTGCACCACCCAGGGATCCCTCTCTCTGTGTCTCTCATGGATAAATAAATCTTTAAAACAAAAACAAAAAACCCCCAACAAATTCCAGGTACATTTTGAAACAGGCTAGAATCAAAAGAGCAAAGGGCAGGGCCATGCCTGGATCCTTTAAGGCCTGTGGGCTCTTAGGCTCCTCTCTGGGGAAGTTTCCAGGCAGGGCATATAGTCTGAGTGTCTGCTGGGCCCTCATGGTTACCAGATGGGTGCAGGCCCATGACTATGCATGAGCTAGACAAGCACACATGTTTGGACTGGTGCATCAGTCAAGCTACTGTTCTGAGAAAGGGGGACACTCGCAAACTCAGGACACAAAACTACTTCTGGAAAACCTCCAAACAGGACCAGGACACTGATGCCCTCTTTCCCCTTCTGGTAGGGGTGGCAGGTGACCTGGATTATAATCTAGATTCTGCTTCTGCCTTTCTAAAGGAGGTGGAGACGTTGATGGTGGTGATGGCAACAAAATTAAACAAATAATAATAATTTGGGACACCTGGGTAGCTCAGCGGTTTAGTGCCTGCCTTTGGCCCAGGGTGTGATCCTGGAGACCTGCGATTGAGTCCCACATCCGGCTCCCGGCATGGAGCCTCCTTCTCCCTCCGTCTGTGTCTCTGCCTCTCTCTCTGTGTCTCTCGTGAATAAATAAATAAAAATCTTTAAAAAAAATAATTTGGGGGATCTCTGGGTGGCTCAGCGGATTAGCACCTGCCTTTGGCCCAGGGCGTGATCCTGGAGTCCTGGGATCAAGTCCCACATCCGGCTCCCAGCATGGAGCCTGCTTCTCTCTGCCTCTCTCTCTGTGTGTGTCTAATCATGAATAAATAAAATAAAATCTTAAAAAAAAATAATTTGAACAGCACAGCAAATGCTCTCCCCATTTTGCAGAAGAGGCTTGAGGCACCCCTGGCTCGTAGGATTCTCCTCCCACTCACAGCACGGGCCTGGGAAGATGTGACACGGCGCTCTGCCATCTTCCCTCAGTGGGCACTGTCCCTCTGACCCATGTTGGCTTGGGAAGAGGAGAACCGTAACTCATGGAGCACTTGACAGGCTACCGTGCGCTCTGGGCGGTGCAGGCACACCAGAAATCACATTTCTGCCGTCAGGTCTGAAAATATGGAAAACTGTACTTTGTGGAGCTATCACTGCCTTTGGGGCCTGGACAGGCCGCTTCTAGATCTACAGCCTGACTCAGCCAATGATGACTGAGGAAGCAGCTTTGAAAAAAAACAAAACAAAACAACAAAAACTGGGCCAAGGGGAGGGAATGAAAAAAGTGGTGGAGAGTTCTTAAACCCTGGGCAGTTTTAGAGAATCTCAGGCCCAGCATTTCAAATCTTACATGGCACATGGTGTAAACATTTGTTTGGTACTGGGCTGGAATAAAGTCATAAAGTAAAAAAAAAAAAAAAAAAAAAAAAAGGCTCAGAGAGGTGAATCCACCTTCCTGGGTCACATGGCTGATCCACGGTAGAGCCAGCATTTGAATCCTGGTCTGTGGGACTCTAGTCCCAGCCACTGGGGGACTCTGTCCCTGAAGAGGACAGAGCCAGGTGGGTCAGGGCTCATGTTTGTGTTTGTCACTCTCACTGGACTGGGAAGTGGGGGATCAGTCTCTGCTGGGACTCTGGTATACAGTAGGTGCTCAATATATGCTTGTGTGAATAACTAAAATCACATGTGGAAGGATGAAAGCAGAAGGAAGAAAAGGGAGGAGAGTCTAGGTTGGAGGGCTACAGTGGGTGCTGTACTCTGTCCAGGTGCCTGGCTCCTACCTGCCCCTGACCTCAGGGGCTCTGCCCATTGAGGGCAGCCTTCCTGAGATCCCTCCTGCCGGTCACGCCTGCTGCTGCTTAGCCTTTTGCACTGACTCCCCGGGCCTGGAGCAATCTTCCTGGGTCAGCTCCACCTCTCTCCTGCACATTTTTATCCAGAGTATTTTCTGCAGCTCATATGCTGTATCTATGGGTTCCCCAACTGTCTCCCCATTATAACTGGGGGGCTGCATGAGGGCAGGGACCTATCCACCTTATTTGTCACTGTAGCACTGGGGTGGGCCCTTGTTCACACACTGGCCTACTTGGTGAATAAAGGGGCAGGTGGATGGAGGGACGACACTTCAGATTCTAAGGACAGGCTGGTATGTGGCTTGGGCAAGGCTGTACTCCCAAGGGCATCCGGTCCCTGTCCCCTACCTCCCTGGGGACTCACTTTGATCTCAATCTGCTCCTCCATCTCCTTGCTCTTCATGGCTGCATACTCCTTCTCCAGCCTGCAGAGGGGAGGGCCAATGTGGTCACTGTCCCACTCTTGGGGACCCCTTTCTGCCAGCACCCTGCCCACCTGGTACTGACCTCTTCATCTTCTTGGGGTTGTACTTGACCTGGTAAGCCTTGAGGATCAGCTTGTCCGGGCAGCTGTCGAACTGGTGGGGGATCACCCTCTGGAAGTACTGTGGGGGCACCGGTGGTCCCTGACCCACAGGCCCTGACTCGGGGGTCCACCAGAGCCCCTCTGTACCCTGCTTCCCTGCAGGAGAGGCCAGTCTGCCAGGGGCATCACCATGTCCCAGCTCAGGGCCCAGCCCTCTGTGGGTGCTCTGTCAGTGTGTGTGGAGCAAGTAGGTGCGAGAAGTGGGGCTGGGGCTGTGGCTGTGGTGGGAAGCAGCACCTGCAGCCAGGACTTCAGTCTGCAGGGGAAAAGCAGGGCTGTGGAAGCTCCTGCAGGCAAAAGCTGGGTGGTGGTGGAGTCTGAGCACAGGGACTTTTGCGGAAGGGGGTGGCATGTCACTGCACCAGGGCAGTGAGAAGAGGCTGAAGAAAGCGAGGAATCAGTGGGCGCGACGTGGAGGAAAGACCCCTTGGTGGTCTGCCTGCACCCCTGGGGCCCCAGAAGCCCCGGCAAAGGGTTAAGCACTAGCCCTGACGGAGGACACAGCTTGCTGCGGTTCAGGGCCAGGCTGGCTCCTGCTCCTCAGCCCAGCTGGCCCCCTCTGGCAGCTGCACACAATGGATGCCCGTGTTCACGGACACAGCCATGGCCTTTGTGCATTCTTTCCCAAAGCACCAGCTGGAAGATGCTGGGAGGGGAGGGGTAGGGGCCTGTGTGATGGGGACATGGCAGAAAAGCAGGCTGGCCTCTTCTCCAGCAGGCAGGGCAGCCAGGGTGGGTGTGAAGCTGCCCCAGACCCTCACTCCCTCCAGTGCCCTCGCCTGGCCCGGTTGCTGGGGCTGGAACCACACCCAAGGCCTTGTGGTTTGGCTACCATTACTATCTGCCACAGTAGACTTCAGGGGACCCAGAGTTGGGAGCAGGAGATGGGACAGGACCTCCCAGGGCTTGACCTAAGCCTAGGCCTTCCACCATTTCCCCTCCACCCCTGAGGGGCCAGGCTGCTCCTCAGAGCCCGCCTTGGTCCTACAGGAAGGCCTCAGGGAGCAGAGGCCATGGGAAAGGAGCAAGATGCTCAGGGACACCTCCGCCCTCATAGCCAGGCCCTTCTGTCTCTCAGGAGGCCTTCCCCTGCACAGATGCCTCTGGGAATCCCATTCACCCTGGCCCTCCTGGCCCACCTGGGACATCCCCTCCATGTCCAGCTGCATCAGCTCTGTCTGGTTCACCTGCAGCAGGGCGAGGCCCACCCGGAACACAATCTCCAGACCCTGTAAAAGTGATGGCAGTGAGTCTCTGGTCCTGTTCTCTGGGGCCTGGGGGGGGGGGTGGCGCTGTCTGTCCGCATTCGGCCCCCCTTCCCCAACCCCTGGCCCTTCCTTAGCCTGGGCCTGGCTGGGATTTATTTCCCATATTGTGTATCTGGGAGAGGAAGGGGTGTTTGGGGTCCTCACCTCGTACATGAAGATGTCAAAGACACGGGTGGCAACAGGTAGTGGGAAGGTAGTCAAGAAGAGCGTGAGAAACCAGGACGAGGCGTACATGGATGTGTGGAAGCTCTGGGAGCGGAAGTGGGTGTTCAGATCCGGGAGCTGTTCCTGGGGCACAGGTGTGTAGGGAGGAGGCCAGGCCCTGTGAGGAGGCTGCAGGCACAGCAGGCCCTGCCCACAGGCCCCTTCCATCTGGGAGTGCTGGGCTTCAGTGCCCCGGCCTCCAGGGTGACTTCCTTGCCTGCCCTGGGCCAGCCCTTGGCTCTCTTCCTCTGTGTGCCCTCAGCACTGTGTTTGGGTGAGGCTGAAGTGCCTGAGAGCTCTGAGTAGCACCAGGTAGAGACGCAGGCAGGGGTGGCAGGAGTAGCAGCAGCTGGTGGGTGTTGGGTATACACCCAGGGCAGGCACTAGCACAACTGCTGATGGGATCCTCACCACTGCCTCAAGAGGGAGCCTCTAGGGCTGGGGGGGAGGAGGGAGGTGGTTATGTAACTCCCCAAGTTCACCCAGAGAGCAAGGGGTGGAGTGTGGTGTGGGCCCACTGCAGCACACTCCATATCTAGTGATCCTCCAGTGTCACCCACAGCTCCCTGCATCATGCTTTGTGTCCTGCAGTGCTCAGGGGATGCCTGTCTGATTGGCCTGAACTTCAGACTGCTGAAAAGTGACAGAAATTGGGGAAACTGAGGCCGGACCAGGTGTCAGGAACCCCTGGATGTCCTTTACTAAGAGAGAACAGACTCTGGAGCTCTCCCCACCTGCCTTGGGGCATCCTCTACAGCCAGGGGTTCTCTGGTCCTGTCCTCCTACTCTGCCGTGGACAGCCTTGCTACCCAGCCCCGGGTGGGTGGCTTCTTCTCTGTGGCCTGGGCCACCTGTTTGCCAACACTACCAGGTCCCCTCAAGCGATGGTTTCTCCCTGTCCATTGCTATGTAGAGTAACATGGCCCCACCTGTGACCAGCTTCTGAAGCAGGCCGTGTATGTGTGTGTGTGTGTATGCACGCACGCATGCACGCACGCACGCACACCCAGTCTGTCTGCCAGCCAGGGGCGGGCCCTGCGGGGGCTGCTATTTATAAACAGAGACGGCTGCTCTCCAGTATCAGCAAAGGCAGGCAGACGACACTTTCCCTCCTTCCGCCACACTGGGGAGCAGACAAGGAGGGGCTGGGAGTATAGCCAACAAGAGCCAACCTGACCCTTCTTGCCCTAGCAGTTCTGGGAGCCCCATACTCTCAGGAGCCCCCACCACAAATGGCTGGCCCTCGCCCTGTCCCCAGAAGCACCCTCTGGGGCATACCCCACAGTCTCGTGGCACAGGACCCCTTTCTGAGCTGGGACATCTGCATGTGACTTCTCAGCCCTGGAATTCTCAAAGAGACAGAAATGGGGATGCCCTAGGTTAGCACCCATGGGTGTGGGCCGATGGAGAGTGGTGGGTGGGTGCACCCCACCCCTGGCCCCCACTCACCTGTAGCATGTACTCAAACTGGTAGATGCAGAGCCCCAGCTCGGCCATGCTGGGCTTGAAGAGCTCCCTCAGGCGGTACTCCTGCATCAGCCGCACGAATACACAGAAGGCTTCCTCCTCAGGCATCTGGGGGGACAGGCAGGGTGGGAGGGGGTGTTTGCTGCTCTTCTCACGGCCCTGGTGGGCAGTGCTTCGCCTTCTTCTCCATTTCAGTTTACAGAACAGGAACTGTGTGGGTATCTTGGACCCTCATAACGAACCTCTGATCTTTATCATCACCCAGCTTTTATGGATGGGAAACCTTCTGAGGCTGAGGTCACCTGCCACAGGCTGGTGGAGCCAGGACTTGGAGCCCAGGTCTGCCCACCTCCAGAGGCTGAGGTGAGACACCCTCTGGTTCCCCCACCCCCCAGCTGTCTCTATTCTTCCTCCTGAGTCTGCTGGGTTCTCTGGAGGAAACCCTCTGCCCAACTAACACCACTTAAGCCCCCTGCCCTGGGAGGTGACTGGGCAGGACAGTTGTCTCTCCAGCCCCTGGATGATGCAGGTAGACAGCTGCTCTGTGCCCACCCATCAGGGGCTTGGCCTGAGGACTGGCCAAGGTCATAGGTGAATGGAGAGGGAAGCTCTGACCCTAGGAGGACGCTGGGTGGAGGGAACACTGCTTTTGCCCACCTACTAGGGCAGAGCCCAGGGCGGGCTGGCTCCTGCCACAAGCCTGGCCCCAGCTACCTACCTGCATGAGGAGCAGGCCCACGATGAAGGCGCTGCCCTGGCAGTAGCCCACCTCCCTGTCCACCAGGGAGTATGCCTGCAAGGGAACACATGCGCATCACAGCAGGGGCCCTCTGGCCAGCGCCAACACGGGCTGGGGCTTGGGTGGTGAGTGGAGGCCCGAAGGCCCTAGGCCTCACCTTCATGACGTTGAAGAGGACCTCCTGGCCCAGGCTGTCCTGGCCCTTGAAGAACTCGTGCTCTGGGTAGGTGCGGGCAATGTCCCTGCGGATCAGCTTCTCACATGGCGAGGACATCTTGAGTAGCTCCGAGTATTGGTTCTTGACTGGCATGTCTGTGGCACTGCACAGAAGCTGCCACACGATGGCCCGGAAGTGGTGTGGGATGCCCTTGCGGATCAGCTCCTGACAGTGGGGTGGGGCAGGGGGCAGGAAGCTGGGCTGGACCCTGTCCCAGCGCAGCCTCCCCACTGCCACCCAGGCCAGCCCCTGATCCCCTGCCTCGCCCGCAGCCCAGAGCTGGCTGAGCCACTGTGCTGCAAACAGAATCCACGCTGCTTAATGTGCTGTCCCCAATCCGTCACAGGACATAGCAGGGCAGGAGACAAACGGGGCCCTGAGACGCCAGTGTGACAGCCACTTGCCTAGCCATCCCCAACTCCCCCCTCCCGTGTCCTGGCAAGGCTCATCTCTTTTGCACTCCTGCCCTCGCCAAGAGAGGCCAAGCGAGGGGCCCGCCCCACAGGCCCCGCCCACCTTCAGCAGCTTCTCTTTCCTGCGCCGCCACTCCTCCCACTCGTTGGCGATCCGGCCCCACAGGATCCACGTGTCCTCCTCCAGGTGGCTCAGGTTGGAGGAGGCCGAGGAGCTGGACACCAGCGAGGAACCGCTGTTCCGCCGGGAGCCGTTCATGGAGCGCATGGACTTGGAGTCGGCCTCCAGGAGCCTGGGCAGGGGAGGGCTGGTGGAGGCGGGCCGGGCTGCCGGCACCTCCCGCCCCAGCCCCTGGGCTCAGTGACCGAGTGACAACCCGGCACCGCTGGGGAGCCCGGCCCGCCTCTAGGAGCCCCAGAGGCCTCCAGGGATTGGGTCTAAATTGTTCTTGCCGGGTGACCTTGGCCGGTGCCCTAAAGTCTGGAAGCCGAGGCCTTATTCCTGGGCCCCTGGAGAGGCTGCCTTCCGTGGGTCCCATTCTGTGTCTAGCATCAGGCAGAGAAGCATGTGTATTAGCTGACTTAGTCTTGTATCAACACAGCGGGGCAGGTTTTGCTAAGGTCTGTGCTTTACAGACCAGGTGGAGAGAGGGCGAGCCGCTGGCTGGGGACAGCCAGCTGGCAGGCAGCTGTATCACCACGTGTTTCTGCTGCTCTGACATCTGGGGCCTCGCTGACCATGGAGACCATGGACGGACTGCCCACGCAGGCCTAGCAGATTCCTAGAGATAGTTAAGGACTTGCCTGCCACTGCACCTTTGCTATGCAAATCACCCAATCTAGAACTCACAAACCAGCTACCTCCCCTGCTTTGATCACCCCCAATGTCAGGGGCCAGACAACTAGGGCTAGCCCCTACACCACCACCACCACCCCAGTCCACTGAGATTATGTAAACTAGCCAGTTTTATACCTGTTTACACAGCCTTGCTGTTAACTTCTTACAGAAACCACAACAAAGGCTCCTGCTCACATTTTCCCTCATTCCCTCTGCCCCCTGACTGACCCTGGTGCTTTCTGGCTTAGCCCCACATGGTGTGGAGTGCCCCTTCCTCTTAGGGAGTGCAGGTAACAAACTCTTAACCTGTTGTTCTTGCCATATCTGAATAATAATAACGCCTACATTTTAAAACAGGGGGAGTGCGGGGGTGGGGGGGGTGGAGAAAGGTGGGAAGGCCTGGCTCAGAGTCAGAGGCCTTGCTCTTCCCTTCAACAGAGGCTCAGTCAGCCAAGGCCAGGTTCACACGGCTTTTTGCAGCCTTGGTCTCATCCGATTGGGGAAGCGGTCCGTTCATCCCGGGGTGGGTGGGAGAACAGGACACATTCCTTGTCAAGCCTCTGGTGGGAGCTGTGACTTTGCCCAGGCCCAGGCCCAGCTCTGAGTGTGAGGGGGCCATGAGGAATTTCTGTTTGGGGCCCAGGATGCAGCCCTGAGGCCGCTCCCGTCCGCTAGGCCCCAACTCACCGGTTCTGCTCTTCAAGCTTGGCCAGCAGCTCCAGCTCATCTGGGCTGAGGTTCTCCGAGTCCGAGGTGGGGGAGCATGTGGGGGCCGACAGGGCCTCCTGGGACGAAGAGTCGGGGCTCAGAGTGGGGCTCGCCATGGTGGGCAGGCTCATTGGCTGCGAGCAGGGCCAGGTCACAGCTCTGTCTGTGGACCGGAGATGCAGGTGGTCAGCACCAGATGGGGTGTCTAGCCTGTCCTGCAGGCTCTGGGCCAGGTGAGCCTGCTGCTCACCTGGGTACATTTCCTCACCACGGGCTTCCTGTCTCTGGCCTGTCTGGTCAGTGTATCTCATCCCCATGCACTCCAGCCTGGCTAATGGCCATGCTGGCTCCTTCTACTCCAGACACTAGCTACCAGGATCCCCTGCCTGTGGCCAGATGCGTGGACGGAGACAATAGGATCACAGCCAGGGCCTGAGCTGTTCTGCTGTCCCTGGGCATGGAGGCCAAACCTCAACTTGACACTTCTGAGTCTTCAGCAGGGCCAGGGGCCAAAGTTCCCTGTCACTCAGACCTTAGGGGTGCAGAAGCCCCCGCTTCAGTGGCCCTTCCTGACAGCCTTGCTCCCGGTCTCTGGCTGTGGCCTGTCCTGGGAGCCCTGCCTCAGCATCTGACCTTCCCCATCTCATCAACCAAAGTGGGCTGCTGGCACAGCCAGAAGCAATTATTCTCTACTGTTAATTGTCTGTTGCTGCCAACAGCCGGAAGAGTCGACTCCCCCTTGGGCTGGGAAGCCAGGGATGGACGCATCAAAGTGCTGGGAATCTGTGTCCCAGCAGACGCAGAGTGAGAGCTACAGGCTCTCATCAGTATCCTGATCTCGGCCTGCTGTGTGCCGGGTGGGTGCCAGGCCCATTTGTCCTATTCTTGGGGACAGTCCGGCCCCACCCTCCTGGGAGCTTCAAGAACACTGGCCTCTTGCTTTCTTCCGGCTTCAGGAGATGCAGCTCAGCACTGTGCCGAAAGCAAAGGCTCTGGACTCAAACGAACCTGTGTCTGAACCATGGCTCCCCCTCAACAGCTGTGTAGCCTTGGGCCAGTCGTTTGGCTTCTCTGTCTCCAAAGACTGAGGAGCATACAGGAGCTACTCCAGAGGGTGGCCGTGAGAACTGAGCGTGCCACCGCTCGCAATATGGCAGCACGGTGCCTGATACTTAATGACTGCTCACTCCCTAGCTGCTGGCCATTATTATTCATTCCAGGGCCAGGGCCAAGGTTGAGCTGGGCTCTAGGGTTTGGTGTGGAAACTGCTGGCAGGAGCTGGCGTCACCCTGGTGGGTGGTTTTAGGGGTTGGGGAGGGAGTAGAGGCAGGGGCCGGGGGAGATGTTCCTTCTAGTCAGTCATGCTTCTGGTAAGCCCAGGCTAGCATCAAGGGTCTAAGAAGATGGGGCTCTCCAGGGCCCTGGGGGCAGGAAGAAAATGCTGCTCCCCTCACTGTTGCTCTGGATGGCTCCTTCATGCCCATCCACTCTCCTGCATACTCTGTTCCAGGAATCCACTATTGCCTGGACCCCACCTGAGCTGGCTTTGACAGCTCAGCCCACAGAGAGGCCCCTGTTCAGTCCAGGGGTCATTGGTCCCCTAGGCAGCAGAAAGACAATGACAGGACAACAGCAGACCATTTCATGCCTGCCATCAGGTCACTGGGTACCTATTCACAGCCCAAACTCAGACCCCAACCAACACCTGAAGGTCCATGGATTGGCTGGGCCTGACCTTGGCCATGCACTTGTTTCCAGCTTCCTTCTCTTTGTTGCCCTATCTTGGAGGGCAAGGGAGATGGGCATCATTCTTCTTTCACCTTGTAGGGGTCCCAGAACCCTCCCTTCCCTGGTCTCTGTGACTCCTCAGGACCACTGGTGCTGCCTCCGGCTCCCAAAGGCTCTCCAGTTCTGTTGGGTGCTGAGGGCTCTGGCTTTGGTGAGGGGTACAAACTCTAGGTGGTAGGTCCCGGCAGAACCGCAAGATCTTTTCTTCCGATTGCCTTGTTGGCCGGGGATGGCTGCCCCAAAGACCAAGCTACTATGTACCATCTAGCCAGGAGTTAATCTCTCCTGAGAGAGGGACAGTGGGGTCCACTCTGGGGCCTACTACACAAAGTCTGTGACCAGCCAGGGCAGAGATGGGCTGTGGACACGAAGTGTTGACCTAGAAGGACCTCTCTGAGTAGGGAGGGGCTGGGAAAGCAGTGTGGGTTTCCCAACATCAGACTGGGGAGGTGGGGAAGAGGTGGTGGAGGTGAGGACTGGAGCCTGCTAAGCACAGCTAGGTTGGGGGAGCAATGGAACCGCTAGAGAAAGAGACCCCATGTGGCCAGCATAGTGGTCTGGGCCCACTCTCTCTTTACTGAGTCCAGGATATTCAAGCCTTGGATCCAGCACACACACCCCATTGCTGTCCCCAAAGGGCCCAAGAGAATGGTTCAACTCTGGGTTTCTGATTTAAAACCACAACCAGGGCCAGCCACTAGCAGAGTTTGTTCAGCTATTTATCACATATTAATGTGTAGTTCATACAGGAAATAAAATTGATTCAATACATAAGGCTGAAATTTGCAGTCTGAGAGGCAGAACCTTCTGATCCCTCAGGAACTTTCTCTTGACTCATCGCCAGACTGTCTAAACACAGCCTGGCCCTGGAAGCCATCCTCCCGATGCACACATATACACAGACACACTCACACCATGGACACAATCATACACTCATATAACTGACACTCACACATACCTACACTCATACTCACACACTGTTTCACACCCTGCACATGCACATTCATGCACTCTCCCGCCCCCACACGCTCTTGTGTGTGTGCACACACATGCATGCACATGCACACTTCCTGCATTGACCAGATCTTGCCTCTCTTAGACCTGAGTAGATTGGGACGGACATGGCTTGCTGCCCTCCTAGTTCTGTGGGTGGCCCTGCCTCCCCTCCAGGGCACCACAACTCTTACTCACTCCACCTTTCCTTCCCTGATGCCCACTGAGGGCCATCTGAGGGCCAGGTGTTGTTCTAGGCACAGGTATATGGAGGGGAAAGAGGTGGATGAGACATGGCCTCTGCAGCCCTTCCCCCGCTGCGGTGGATGGATACAGAGACAAGGCAGGGTGCCTCGCTCAGTGCTTTGAGATCCATGCACAGGCCCACTAGGTCTCAGGTCCCAGCCTCTCAGCGTCAACTTCAATTCCCTTTGCCTCTACTCCACCTCAGCCACTTAAAGGGGGTCCTGGACCCTGCAGAGTGGGCAGTGGGTCACCTGCCCCTGTGCCTGCTGGCACTACACCCTCTACACCCCCATAGGGTGGCCCATGGTTAATGAGGCTGAGCCAACCCAGAGGGGTGGGAAGAGACTGCCAGTGAGCTGGGGCAGAAAGATCCAGCTGCCAGGGGTTTCCCACTTCCCTTTCCTCTTCTCAGGGGTGTTTGGACACTGTCAGTCATGCCTCCTCCTTCTTAAAGGCCTCTTCCAGCTAGCTTCAGAGAGGCTGCGCTCCTGGGTCCTCTCCTCCCTCCCTGCCAGGGCTTCTCAGTCTCCTGGTTGGCCTCTCCTCCTCCACGGGCCCTGCCTTGGCCCGTCCCTTCATCCACTTGGCGGTCTCACTCTTGAGGCTTAAATGACCATATGTATGCCAACAACTGGGATATCCTCCTTTTTCCAGCTTTTCCTTTCTCCTGAGCACTATCTAAGATTGCCAACTGGCTCTTGAACACCTCTGCCAAGTCCCCCACCAGGGGAAGAACCACCTCTGTCTGGGTCCCTGCTACAGCGAGGCCCTGCACTGAGCCTACAACAGAGGAGTTGAAAAATATCTGAGGAACTGAACCGCCTCCCCATCCACTGATGCTTGCTGAATGCCCACCAGGTGCTGGACATTGCACCGAGCAAAGGCCAACAGAGCTGCTGCCCTCCTGAGCGCATGGAGCATAGAGAGTAAGAAATCATCATCCAAGCTTTCTCCTGCAGATTGAGAGATATGTTTTCAGGAATGGAGAGAGTGGAACACCATCTGGCAAGCACCTAAAGAGTTAAATGTGGAGTTCCCACATGACCCAGCAATTCTGCTCCTAGATAGCTACCCAAAAGAATGGGAAACATATGTCCACATGAACTCTTGTACGTGACTCTTGACAGCAGTGTCATTTATAATAGACAGAAAGAGAAAGAACCCTATTTCCACGATTGGATGAACCAATTGACACAACGTGGTCCATCCATGCACCGGAATATGATTCAGCCATAAAAAGGAAGGAGGCTCTGACACACGCTGCCATGTAGATGAACCTCAAAGACTTTATGTTCAGTGGACGAAGCCAGACACAAATGATCATAGGTGACATGCTTGCATTGACATGAAATGTCCAGAATAGGGGCATCTATAGGGATAGTGGTTGCCAGGGGCTGGGGCCTGGGGAGCGGGTAGGGGAATGGGGGAACCTGCACACAGGATTTTTTTGGAATGCTGATATGTTCTGGAACTAGACAGTTGTACTACTTTGTGAATATACTGAAACCCACTGAACTGTTCACTTTAAAAGGGTGAATTTTAGAGAAAAAGATGATGAGGGATGGGATGGGATGGATTGGCAAAGGAAACACAGTGCAGAAGCAGGAGGAAGGCATGCCACTCCAGAAAAGACTGGAGAATTCTGCAGGGGCCAGACCCCCACAGGGCCCTGTGGGCTCAGGTAGGGGCCTGGCTGGGCTTGCATTTTAGGAAGACCCTCCTGGTCCCTGGTGTGGAGATGCTCCTCAAACACAATACTCTCCTGATAAAGCCAGCAACTCCTCCTGCTACATGGGGGGGACTAGCTGGGTCCATGTGTTGCCCTCCACCCACCCGCCCAGTGCTACCCTCCTCATGCTTGCCCAAACCCTTCAGCTATTCCCTGCTTGGAGATGGAGCCCAAATGTTTTTGCCTGGTGCACACAGTCCTGCCAGCTTGCCTCCTCCCTCATCCCAGCCCCATGACGCTCGGCCCTCCAGGGGTCCTGTGTCTTTGCACATGCTGTTCCCTCTTGTTGGGAAAGCAGTCTCCAACATCTGGTTTGAATATTTTTTTCTGTGAAATCGTTCCTATCAACCCCCACCTCGCATGCTGGCTCACTTCTCTATCTCCCTCTGAAAATACTTACCCCCTAC